GAATCGATCTTGATTTGGTAGGAGTTCAGGTTGTTGGTGACCCACATTAGGGAGACCCAAATCTGACCAGTTCCGCGCATTTTAAGCGACAGGTTGGTGTGCAGCTCGTTTTCCGCTTCGGAATAGAGGCCAATGGGAAGGAATTTTAAAAAGTTGTTGTCGGTGGTGTTTTCCGTCTGGCATTCATCCTTCTGCACGAATTCACCGTTGGGTTCAATAATTAATAAAAATACTGTCTAATTGCCACTGAAGTCCGGCAGATGCACCGGGTGGTCCAAACCGAAAAAAAAACGAGCAATTTACCAGGATAAGACCACCCTGTACAACCCATTGACCCAAAAGCGGTACCTGAAAGAAGAAGCCAATGGGCATCTCATTGAAGAGCGAATGATAGGCCAAAAACACCGGGTCAAAGGCCTGAGCCACATCAGGGTGTTTCCACTCGAATAGTGGCGTGGGCACGCCCTTAAACCCCAGCATTACTTCTCCTAAAAACACCATGGTTAGAAACAGGGCGTGGCCCTGCCAAAGCCGAACCTCGCCGGATTTGCAACCAAAAGTCCGTCCAAACGCCGGCCGAGATCAAATGCGGGTACGTTTTGCTCTCCACCAAGGCCCCATTCAAGTGCAACTCCACTTTCTCGTTCAATGCGGCCCCTAAAATCCCACCAATCAAACGCCGCAAGTTTTCGTTTGCTCTCAAACTGACCAACAACCAGCACCAGCTCCTCGCTGCCCCCTAGCGGGTAAATGGCGAAAACCACCCCGGACAGCAAATCCGGGTTCCACTCCTTCAGCCCGAACCTCAACCCCCCACTAAGACCCTCCTCCTTCCATTGGGGCAAGATGAAAAGTCGTCGCCCGTTCTGATTGGTGGACACGATTATAATCAATTCTTCTGGTCGATCGCAGTCTGTGATTGGGCACACGTCCTGCACCACATCGGGGTCTTTGGTGTAGCACCAGCTGCCTGCAAGGTGCCAGTTTAAGTGCCCAACTTGCCCTGATGGAGGCTCACACACCCGAAACGTCCCTGTTCGGGTTCCTGCAGAAGTTCCTCGCCGAACTCGCATCGATATCGGCAAAGTAGGAGTCGTTAAACGTGTACATGTACTGAGGATGCACTGATCGACTCGAAACGTCCCAGTTGTCGCATGTTCGTCCCGATCTATGGAAGTTTTCAATTTCAAAGTGTGGCAACAGTGTCGGATAACGACCACGCCTCTCAAATGGCAGCTACCTAGTGGTGGACAGATGACCAATAAAATCGTTCCCAGTCCCGGCCATTTTACACAACTGCGACTTGCACTTCCTCAAATGGCAAAACTGCTTCTCCACGATTGTTTGCTTCAAATTGCGTGAAAGAGCGTAGCAAAAAGTGCCTTCGCCTCGCGCTTCGGGGTCTCGGCAGTAATTTTTCGAGGTTACTATAAGTGACCGGTTTTTGAACATTGTTGCCACGTCATCAGGGAGCATTTTCCTGCCCGACCAGGGCAAGCACGGCAGGCCCAAGCTGGTGACATCCTGCAGAACAAACTCGTCAAACTTCCCGCACCCGACTAGACTCCAATCGACTTGCTTGTGTTCCAGAATAATCCGGCTCGTTAGTGTTGATGGCACAGTCCGGCAGCATCGCTGCAGGCGGCTGCGCAAAGCGGGGCGGCTCACAGTAAAAGCTCCAATGCGCAACACTGTTTTCCGAGCCGACACTGAACCAGCGCAGCTGCCGAAACACCTCATCGGTCGTTTCGAGCAGCGAATGCATGCCTATGGGCTTTTTCATGTAGATCTAAGCAACGCTATGCAGAACAAGTCAAACCAGAATGCACTCACTTGCAGACTGTTGGCGAAAATGGAAATGGAAAACTCGTGCCACGCCCAGTAATCGACCACGTCGTCCAGCTGCAGCTCTTTAAGGACCAGTTCGGACGCTCCTTGATGTTCCCGAATGGTCATTCGGGTGTTACCGTGCGGCCCGTTGAAGACTATTTTGAAGTAGGGGAAATCCACGGTAGGCGAGGGCGTGGCTAGGATGGCGGCGTTGCCAAACGCGCGTACGTGTACATATAAATCGAACACTAAAGATAACTTTTTTAAATCGAGCAGTTAAAGGGAAAAAAGGAGGGGGG